GCCAACATTTGTTATTGGTTGATTTCTTGATAGCAGCCATTCTTTGTGGGGTGAGGTGGAATCTCAGTGTTGTTTTCATCTGCATCTCTTGAATGACCTGGTGCCATATTTGATGGGCTAATTTCATTTCTTGGCCCACAGCAGAAAAAAAGTTCTTAACTGGTAACAGGAAGAGGGGAGCAATTGAGGACAAAAATTATTAATATTACCTGCTGAAAACAGGCTTGGACAAGGTTCTCAGGGAACATATTCCTGTTGGAGATATGAAAAGCAGTATTATGGTAGGGCAAAAAGTGGGGTTATTTTTGTCATACTTGATACACTGGAGGAAATGAATACAATATAGAATAAGTACTGTTTTTTCTTCTAGCCTCTCCTTTGTATAATATTTCCTTACATTAAACTTACTTCTTTCATCCTTAGCATAAATTCAATACAGAAAACTGTCCAGCAACTGTCACGTAAGAGTCTAGTGACAGGCTGGCTGAACTCAGTGAGATGCTGCACTGGCAGGTGGTTACTCCCAGGCAAGAGACAACTCTTTAATTTTCTGCACATTACTGTTTTCATAAGTAGGCAATGTGCTTAACAATACTGTACTGTATTTGTTCCCAAATTTTATGCCAAGTGCAAATATTGTAATTACCGACCTCAATGTTATATAAACTGGTGAAATATGAGTGTGAAAAAGGTGTAGTTTCCATTAAAAACTAAGCCAAATGCCTGGAAATTCAATAAAGCCAAATGACTACCATTTTTGTGGTTAAATTAGTTATGGGAAGACCACGGAAATAAAAACTAGGAGTATTTGGTACTTGGTTTTCTTTGCAATGTCTGAGGTTTTGTTGTTACACGCTGGAAATAGAATTTGGAAAGTGTAGATTATGTATCTACAAGGACAGCATATGAAACAGAAAGCTATGGAGTTATAATAAAGTGATACTCTCAAAAAAAGACCATGGCCCTACATAAAAAACTGGTGAATAAATGCATTTAAATGGGAACAAAATATGTAATGCATATCCTATAACATTTCCACAAGTCTCTGCTTTAATTGCTATTTCAATCAAATGACCTGTTTCTGGCTCTCACTGCTTTAGTTAAGAAGCTTCCTGCTATACCATTAAAAATGTATTTCTCCAAGGGTGCTTCAGAACTGACCATCCATCTCAGCCCAGCACCTTTATACAACAAGTATACTTCCTGCATCTCCATCCATCCTAAATCCTAACAGAGAAGCCTGTTCCTAAAACCAGGACCCATAAGCAGAAATTACTGGCCATGCAGTTTGTGGGGTCTACAGCAAAATGGAGATAAACAATAATTCAAAAATGATTAAAAATTTAAGACTGTTACAGCAGAGCATTAAGTCATGCACAGAGCCCTATGCAACTACATAGATGACACAAGGAAGCAAAGACTTTCACCTGATCAGGTCTAACATGGCATCCACAGTGCTGACTTCAGGGGTGCTCCCCGTCCTGTCAATTTCAGATACCTTCTGGGCGACACCGGGTTTGATTGTCACCACCAGCACAATACCTGTGACCAAGGACAGCATCCACATAGCATTAAGAACTTCCAGGATCCCTGGCATCCAGGTATACTCTGCTTACAACAAGCAGGCAGAGGTACCAGGCAACACTGTTGTGAGGAGGACCCCAAGGTCCAGCCAAAGTGTGGAGCTCCTGATAGAACCCCAGCAGGTGCCTTAGTAATTTTCCACTGAAATGAATAAGCAGATAGAACTTTGTGTGTGTGTGTGTGTGTGTGTGTGTGTGTGTGTGTAAATGAAGATGTTCATCCCAGGGTTCCTCCTGGAAACACCTGCTGATGAGAACATTCTTCTTTCTTTTCTTTAGCCTATGAAATCAACCTAGGCAGGTGTTGGGGTGAGAGTGTTTCACTTCTCAGCCTAGTGAACTTGTTCAATATCTTTCATAACTTTTGCCCACAGATGCTGGTCATTCTCCTGAGGGTCACACAAAACAAGGCTTGTCTTATCTTCCTGCCATAACACACACCTTTGGATATCTGGAAAGCTCTGATGTGGGAGCATGTCATACAGGGGGTGGACTGAGGGCTGCAGAAGGGCTATAACACCAGCTAATAATAAAGTGCTACCTTGCATTCTCTCTGCTATTTTTTCTTTGTCCCCCTCAAGAGAGGAGATGTAGCTTTGGTTTAGGGCAGAGTTCAGGCCCTCTGAGGCTGCCTGACTAAATCTCTGAATACCACTGAAACCTCCCTATCCTACCACTTCTTATCCATTCATTAAAGCAGAGCTGCAAAGATTAAGCTGGCTGCAACACCTCAGCACATTTCCTCCCTTTCTTCCTACTCTGGGCATCCTTCTTAAAATGTCATGAGAGGTCACAAAGGATGGACCAAGCTTCCTTCACAAAACCATGCTAAAGTTGCAAGAGCACCCATTCCCTTATTAGAACTTCTTCCCTTTAAAAAGTGAGATTTATACTTAGCAAGACTGTTACCCCTTAGCCTTACTGTGTGAAACATGAAATATGTTGAAATGCTACCTTTATGGAAATACTTTAAAAGTATACTCAACTCTACTAATTATCCAGTTTAAGATTATGTAAGCGCTTGACTTCACTTTCTTCTACCTAATGATCCTGACAAGGCACAGAACTGTCACCTTCTTTCTGCCTCTTAGTGAAGACTTTAATAAGCAGCACCAGGGCTAAAATTCAGTCAGGACTACATTTTATTTATATAAAAGGTGCCATGGAGACTTCAAGGCCACAAGATCTACAGTAGTTTGACAACGTTACTTTCTGATTTAATATGTGTATTTTTAAAACTCCAAGTACTTTTGAGTGAAAAGTGACAATTGAATAGAAGAAAAGGATTTAGAAATAAATGTTACCTAGAATAACAGCAATGATGGTGGTACAAAAATAATACACCACAGCCCGCAGACCAATTTTTCCAGATACATTGGAATCCAGGGCGGCAACGCCTACAAGGAGATTTGGGAGAAATCAAATTACACTCATTCCTAAAAGACAATTTTCCAGGGCTGGTAAATCAGTCCTTAAGGTGTGAAATAAAGAAGTGAGAGCTGTCCTCTGCATTTATAAGGCTCATCTCACACTGTTTATTTGGATAAAGGCAAATGAAGCACTTGAAAATTCCAAACACAGAATTCAGAGATGGAAACCCAGTGAGGCACAAATTTTCCCATGGCCTTGGGGTGTTTTTCCTGAAGAGTGGTCATTAAACAGTCACAAGGAGTCCCCTCCTGCAAGTCTCTGAGAACCTTATCAAGATTTGTACGTTACAGACTAAAAATATATACTCATTATATACTCAATATACATTTAGTAAACCTCTTAGAATTCAGTAGCAAGGGAAAATTTACTCTGAAGAGCTGATAGTTCTCTTATCACATAAGAAGAATCATGCAAGTTATGATTGTTTTCCATTGGGAAGCTCAACTGTTTACATATAATTATAAAAGTAATGTATATTCAGTGCAGTTGCCTGAATAAAAGACAGAAATATAAAGATGAAAACAAAAGTCACTTCATCTCATCAACCACAGTTAATATGCTGGTGAATTTTCTTCCAATATTTTTCTGGAGTTTTTTGTATACATAGCTAATTTAATTTTATAGTTTTAAAATCATTCTCTTCTTAATATTGCATTGTAAGCATTTTTCCCTAGCTACATAACCTTCCATCATATGTTATACTATTATGTATTTCTTCATCCATTTATTACTGGATCTTTAGACTGTCTCAGGACCTAATTCAATAATAAATCACAGAAATTTCATTATCTACCTTGGCTAGCATATTTCTTTCCACTTTTCATGATTTTCAAATTGTAGGTGAACAATTTTATTACATTTGGCTTCTATTGCGAGACATCTTAAGTTTTCTGTTTGAAAGAGGAAAGATATAAATAAATAATTTCTGATGGTACAGCTAATTTAAGAGATTTATACCCACACTGTTAGATCTAGTTTCAAAGTCTTCGGTTATCAATAAAATAACTGAATATTGCCTAGACTTGAGAAGGTTGGGTGGAATTCCAGGGCCAGTGGGATAAGGTATACATCTCTGCTTGCTTGAAATCCTTGCCCTCTATTAAAGATGCTTCTATACATGGAGTCAAATGATGCTTTCTAAATGGACTTTTGAGGAAGGAGGAGCAAACTGAGAAGCAACCGAAGTATCTTTCATCAAGTTGTCATCTGGAGATACTGGACTCTGACCTGCCTGATTTCCAAAATGAGGATCACAGTTTGTGTCAAATGATCACCATAGAAAATGATTTTGTACTCTGAACACATTTGAGTCATCCCATAACTGTTTACAAAATCTAAAGCATACAGTAGCAGGAAAAGGAAGAGGTTGTCACAAAGTGACCCCAAGGGAAGTGTAGTAAACCTGTAAGGCCATCAGGATTCACAGGTAATTTTTATATCCATTCCTCACTAGAAAGGGCCTATTTTTTAAGTGACTATAGGATTATGGTCCTTGCATAGAATGATATAAATTTAATATATGGGAAAAATCTGCAAGGAAGCTATCACCATTATGAAGGCAGAACGGGTAATTTCTCACTCTAAACATACCATTTCTCAAACAGGAGATCGCCCTTGTGTAAGTTAATATTTTGAGATAAGTTGCTCTGGGCTCTTTAGCAGCCACCTCAGGATACTGTTAAGGGCCCATTCACCAACCTCCAGGACAAGATTGTGCTATTCCCAGAGGAGGGGCATTTTGGAAGTCACATCCTACAATAACCTTGATGAGAGAGTCTATATTTTCTTTCATTGTGAAAAATGGAACTTGGTGTGCTGAGGAGACCTTTTCCTAATAGTGAGACAACTAAAAATAACAATTATGCAAAGAATAACAATAATAACAAAAATATCCAAGAGGGAATGAAGGCTACAATTCAGAAATAAATGAAAAATCTCATTTTTAGTTTAGGTCTCTTAACAAAAGGGCAAAGATGATGCAAATATATAGATATGCTAAGTATATGTTTATAAAATATGCTTATTTCATTTTATAACTCAGTCCATTATTTTGGGAAATTAAAATAATTCTTTATAAAAATAATGAATGGTAGGTTACAGAGGAACAAGAAAACCACCACTTAAGCAGAATCCCATGTAACCTGCATAAGTACCCACCGCCAGGACCTCATACAGGATGAATTTTCAAATATATTGTCCTTGTTTGGTAGATGTCCAATTTAAGCAGCTTCCAGCCCTAAAGTGCTGATAAGTAATGGATTCATAGCGTAGCTACAGAACTGTTTTTGAGTATGTGTTTGGTTCCTTCGCAGGACTTTTTTCCAACTGTAAAACAAATTAAATCTATGTGGGTAATTGTTTCCAGCATATGTTAATATGTCTCAATTTGTCTTAATGATTTGGCTATGGGCTGGTGCCTCTGCTTGTACTTCAGGACTCAGCTGGCTATAGAAGGCTTCATAATAATGAGATTTCTTGGTGGGAATGCATTGACAAAGACCTCCCTGAGCAGCTGGCCAGCTCCTCTCAGTTGCAGCACAGCAACTATCTTATAGTCACTTGCAAGAAGAATTTGATTTCCCATTCCTTTTATCTGCCTCACTCCTCCAGTTCTACTGGATGGATCAGAAATGTACTCAAATCAACAATCATACTTCTCTCACTCTAGTTTCCTCTCTGCCTCTCTAGTCATCAGTGCTGTGTGGCAGAGAAGCTCCAAGCTCTTGGATGATTTATAATGCACTAGAGGGGAGAAGGGTGGCGACCACTGTAGAGGGAGGGAACACAGCCAGGAAACACAGCTTAATCTTTGAACCCTTTATCACAGGAACATTACAGAACTTGGCATCTATAACGTATCTATATGGATGGTCTAAACATACCACCTGCAGATGATGATGATGATGATGGCGGTGATGATGGCAAGACATTATTTTGAGCAATGACTGTATGTTAACCAGTCATCTCCTTTAATTCTCATTATAACCCTGTGAGGTAGGCATTATTATGCCCATTTTACAGAGGAGAAAGCTGTAGCTCAGAAAGGCTACATAATATATCATGATCATTAAGCTGGGGGTAAGGATAAGTGACAGAGTTAGGATCCCAACTCGACTTTGACTCTACAGATCACATTCTTTACCACTGTGCCATATCAGCATCTTCTATGTGCTGCAAAATTCTAGACTGGTGCTGCCCAATAGAACTTCCTGTGATGCAGGCATGTTCTACATTTGGGTTGTCAGTTGAAATAGCCACAAGCTACAAAAGGCTAGTGAACACTTGAAAGGTGGCTAGGATGACTGAAGCACTTAATTGTGCTTAATTTTAATTAATCTCAATTTAAATAGCCACATTTGGCTACTAGCTATCATAGTGGACAGCACAATTTCTAGACCTTATCAAAGGGTTCAGAACCTAGTGGGTGCTCAACAGTGTTGAATGGACAACCTCAAGCTTATCTCCACCGTGAAATTCAGTGTGACCTCTTTCCCTTGCCAGCAAAGGGGCAAAGGGGAGGAAGATAATAAGTCACAATCTCCTGGCACATGGTTCCCTATTGCCCCAAGGCCAGAGGCTTATTCTTCTCTGGATCCCTAGTGCATTAAAGTGCTCTACAAATGTTTGTGTTCTAAGCTTTCCATATGACAGGAAATATAGGTTTCCCTTCCCTTACCAACTGAGCCCATTTCAAAGGTTCATTTGTGTATCACAAATGTGGAACTCAGCTGGTAGTCTCCAAAAAAACCCACTTATACATAGTAGATAGGTTAGATTCCCAGGGTGTCCATCAAAACACTGGTCATCCATAAAAGCCCTGCATGTGAGACATTTTTAGCATCTCAGTGTCTCTCAATTTGTTTTTCATTATTGTGTATCCCCTCCCCCAAAGACTTTTAGACTTTTTCTAATTACCTGCTTCATGAAATTTTAATACCACAAACTGTTTATGTACTAAATAAATACATGTGCTTTACATAATGAGAGTAAGAAACTCTCCCTCCTACCATCAGCTTTTGTTGCCTTGAGGGTGACATTGCCACTGTTAGGAACTCAGGGTCAATGGATGTCTGCCCTGAAAACCCTGAAGACAGTGTCTCTTCATCACTCGCTGGCGGAGGTGGGATAACGTGCCCACCTTAGTCTCACTGGGTGAAATATCACCAGGCTTTATCTTGGGTTTACTCCCAATATCCACCTGGGTTTCCCTCTCTATGGCCTGGTGTATGGCAAAGCCTAGGAGACCAGTTCTCTTTACAATTCACTCCCTCAACTCATTTCTCCCGGAAGCTGATGCTGTCCTATGTGAGCTAACAAATGAGAGGGGACAAAGTGGTACAACAGGATTTGCACAAAAATCAACAGAAGTGTTGAAAGCATTTACAGCAATTGAACAGTAATCTCATGTCTGCCGAATATAACAATAAAAAGGGTTAGTATGGTATTTTTCATGTTTCCCACTAATTCACTTTTATTACACTTAATAATGGTTACTGATCTGTGACATTTTGGAAATTTTTAAAACAGGTTTCCCATCTGGCTCAAAAACTAGATGCTCTGTGAAGCCCTGGTATACAGCACAGGCACCAGGGGCTTTCAGAAGAGACTGAGGTATCACCGGAAGAGGGTGACCAGGAGAGACTTAATGGAGCAGGTGATACCTGCACTGGGCAGAAGAAATGCACAGAATTCTAGTTACAGTAAGGCCAGGGTCATCCTTTAAATCAGGGGAAATTTTGAGGCTGGTATGTGGACTTGAAACAGGGATGCTTGTCCTCAGAAGTTAGGGGCACTTGATAGCTCTTTATTTTAGGAACAAGCACTTGCTTTCTTTACCTCAGGAGCAGGCTCTGACAGCCAAGACGTTGGCTCCTGGCCCAAGCAGTAATCATCCGAACTTTTTATAAAAACTCTACAAAGGAAGCAATGCTGGGGCTAAACAATAGCATGTTTTAAAAATAAACAT